CTATGCGTGGTATTTACAGAAAGTCATCAGTGATATGAAAAAACGAAGAGCGTTATCATACGCTATTCAAAGTTCGTTCTCAGCATTCGGATCCAAAGTCGCTTGCGAGTTTAGAGTTTAAGTCAAAACCTGCAACTGCCTTTTTGTGCTCCGCAATTCTGGTCTTTAATGACTTTTATGTTTGGCCATAATACTTAAAATGACACTGTGTGCAATTGATTTTGTACACCATGCCTGACTTCTGACTTCTGCCATGTCCACCTTTTCGACAGTAACAGGGACTTTACAAACGTCAGGGTCGTTGGTTTCGAATCTAATTACCACGAGAGACTTTTTCTTGAAGCCTGGCACTCTACTTTGGATCCGAACGCTGAGAATGATCACATCGTACTTCCAGAAGCCTATAAAGACCTCGCGCGAGCATCAAATACAGTTACGCGCGCAAGCTTTGCGTCACGTTTTTTAACTTTAAAATAGGGTATGATAACGCTCTTGGTTTTTTCACATCACTGATGAAGGCTTAAGCATTAGCCGAAACGTCTGTTTCAGAAATAAGAGGCAACCAATTTCCATAAAACTCATGACATCTCCTGACTACACTTTTTCAATTTTTTTTAATCCTATAAGCATCATTCAGTACTTTTCCTGCTTGAGATCTAAAACTCTCATTTTTAGATAATTAGATATACTTACCGATTGATTCAGGACAGAAAGGTGAGGTTTTGTATGTGTTGCTGTCAACATGGAGGAAACTTCAGCAGTGAATATGGAGAGAAGTATCACACCGATTACCATCCAGAACGCAGCATAGATGCGAGCTGATGAAGACTTGGGCGACTTGTCTCCATAGCTTATAAAAAAAAAGGAAAACAAAAAACAGTTTGTAAGAGGGTAGAGCTAATTTTGGTATAGCTTTTCTGTCTGTGTATCCCTTATAATAGTAGTTCTCTAAAGTCAGACCAGGATGATTCGTAGGTGTTATGGACTTGTATAGCGTTACAGGGTGACATCGGGTCCCGGGAAACGACGGTTGCAATCATATGTTTGTGTTTTCGTTTTCTTTCCGTTCTGAAATAAACCTCCGCTGTGTGGTTGATATTAATCGACGTGGGACCCATAAGTTTCTTTGACTTTTTCAAGAACCATCTGTTTACGCCCTCTTAAGCGTTACCTTGTGAAACCGAAAAGAAAATATAATTGCGGTTATATGGTCTTCACATGCTCACCATAAAGCAACCAAGTAATCATCAGTAACCAATTATCTTACAATTTTGTTACTTTGAGCAAATAAATTTGCCTGATCATTTTAGGGCCTGATAGAATTATCTAAAGTAGTTGATATTTACAAACCCAACAGTCGTCATGGTAACCACTGCCCACCACGTTCCTTCGCGAACGCCTTTCCAGAATGACTGCGGAAACTCGTCAGAGTTATTTCGTCGTTCCTGAAACGGAAAAGAAAGCTTAGGTGAATTAAACGATTCTCTGTCGAGAAAAATAGCTTTTAAATTCAAAATTCGTAGAATCACATCTTTTTGAAAAGATTAAGGGAAGGAATAACAGAGCAGACGTGGCTAAAACATTGGATGATGGGGAACGTTAATGCACGATGATTGGATTTCACGTAAATGTAAAAAAAAAATAGGTAGAAGATTTCCGTGAGTCCAAAATGCACTATGCCATTTTCCTACCAAACCATCCTTGAATACCCCGGGGATCGGCGATAGTTTGATTCACCAAATCCAGTGATAACAGACCACTCCTGAGACAGTAGAAGATAATTTGAAATGTATAACAAAGACTAGCGATAGTGCATCAGATCGGATGAATGCCCATTACTTATCGAGAGGGAGTCAGATCAACTTACAAACAGCCATATGATAACTCCTGATATCAACATCCATGTGACACAGATACAAATTGTTGCCCAGAGATCTTTAGCAGAATGGTAAACCACTGTTAAGATGTCATACTTTGCTTCTTTCATTACCAAGTATGCTGCTGGTGCATTAAGCCCACACACAAACCTTTCTTTCTCGAAGTATTCCTTCCCAGTAAAGACAGGGTACCTATAGGTGATCGGACACTGTAAGGGCGCTTTGGTTTTGTTCACGCAAAAATGTGATATCATCCGCAAAATAAAATTTCCACGTTTCTCAGTCCATCCGTGTTTTAAAGCACCATCTTCATCCTCCGACCAAATTATTGGCTCGGTCCAGTTAACTGAAATGTTTGTTGATGAGGAGGTGTTAAAGACATTTTCGGAACAATTGATACTGCACTTTATTTTCATATTCTGCTTTGCTGCATCTGCTATTTCTGCTTTCGCTGCATCAATCGTGGAATCGTTTCCGCAAAGGTCAAGAAGGTGATTCACGCACTCAAAGTTGTAAAACCGTGGAGGTAACAGATGCGAAATCGCCTCGTCGCAGCAGTTTTTTAAAGAAATGTTTGAATTATCCTCGCAGCAAAACTTCTTGCACATGCTTTCATCGCCGCGGATGTCAATCCAATGGGCGAGTAAGAAGCCAGTTGTCGCAAGAAGGGACGCAAATGTTTTCATCTTAAGTGAAGAATCGTTATTGCTTCATTGCCTCGAGATTAAAGTAGTTTCAAGCAAATAGTCATTAGTATTCTATGCATGACAAAAAAGCTCCAGGTGTTTTAACTTTAATACACGTTTTTGGACTATACATTAGCAAGTTAAAAGAAAACCGGCCTCAGCAGCTGATGTTAAAAAAAAAGGCTGAATAAAGGCTAAATAACGAGCCAGTAACTTGACTATGTAAAATTATTGAAATATACGGTCTTTATTTTCGTGACAACTGACAGGTTCTAACTCTATTAATGACGTCAA